TTGCCCTCTATCCACTCTATCATATCCCTTTTTAAATCCAAAATGCAATAAAAACTTCCCTCCTTTATCTAAATACTGTTCCATATATGCTCAATGTAAACATTTATCACACTCCCCTACCCACTCTGAACCTCCTTGCCATCCGAAATTCTACTTTTTGCTTACCTCTAATTTTTTCATTATAACCCAAAACCGAAATTTTTTTCCGGGTATACCATAAACTTATTCCCTATAATTTTACAATCTCTTTGCCCCCCTTCCCTTTTATATAAAGGGACAACATGCTCTCCCCCAACCCTGGGACCTTCCCCCTTTTTCATACATTTATTAAAAAAATACCAACCACCCCAAACCTATATCCCCCCTCTTTTTAACTTTCTGTCATATCCCATCATTCCAGCTGCTTTACCCCCTTTCATTCACGTAATGCCTCACGTACCTCCACCAACTTACTTTCTCCTTCTTTCACTCCTAAAAGAGGGTAACCCCCCTGGCCAGCAAAAATTTAAACCACCTCCCTTTCTTCTCAACATTTAAAATTCCTAAAAATATTCTCGCCATCTACCAATACCTCCCTTTTCCCCATCTACTAAACCCCCTACTCGTTTTTAACGAAAAATCCATATTTTTCCCTAGGCTTTCTTAACTTTTTTAACTCACCCCAAAAATTTTTTTCATTTTCATTAAAATTTCTTGACAGTGCCCCCCACTCTTTCATCTGCTCTCCTTTTGCCCTCTCTCCCCACCCCTTTTCACCTTTTTTTTACTCTCCATATACTCTGCTCTTCTTAAAAACACTTCTGCTTTGTAAAAACCTCTCGAAAGCTACCTTTTTCTCTTTTTTTCACCCCCTTTACTTAAACATTCCACCAATCACTCCTCTTTTTCCCCCCCCCCCCCCCCCACCCTCCAAATAACCACAAATTTTTCTCCCCCACATTCTAATACTGCATTTTTAAAAAAATTTCCAACCCTCTTCAAAAACCCCCCCCCCCCCTACTCATCTTTGCACTACCCCCCTTTCTGCCAAAACCCTTTTAACTCCCCCCCGAACTTCCCCCTTCCCTTTGTTTTTTACACTTTTACCCCCCCTCTTTCTTTTGTTGCCACCCTTTCCCTTTTCCCACTAACCCCCTTACTCTAACTGTAGCTACAACTAAATAATGATCGATAAATTTTAGTTTCCCCCCCTATAAAAATGTACATCCTGGAGCCTACCCCTCAACCTTTTATCCACCAATACATAATCTAACAAACTACTTTTCAACGTGTACATCATACCTTGTATATTTATTTATCCTCTTTTTTATAAAATATTTTACTATTACCCAAATTTTTTTTCTACACATGCCAATTAAAGGCTCCCCATTTACATTTACCCCCCGGGACCCCAAATTTTCCTAAAACCCCCCATAACATTTTTACCCACTTTAGCATTAAAATCCCCAACCACCATTACCTCACATTTGTTCAAAACCCCCCACGCATTCACTCAACATTTCCAGAATCTCTCGCCTCCTCTACCTTCTCTCTTCCCCAAGGTGCAACACGCTTATAAAACCCACTTTTCACACCAATCTTTATTTTACTCCACATAACCCTTTGAATTTATGCATTTGTACCCCCCTTTTTTTCCTGCCATAGTTTTATCCTTCAACTTTATTGCACTCCTTCTTTAGCTCTAACTCTTTTGAAACTCCGACCAAACCCCATTTACCCCCAAAAACTCCCCCACCCCCTTCAGCTTTGTTTCATTTTAAAGCCGGGACATCCATTTTCTTTTCTCTTTCATAACATCCACAATTCTCTTTCTTATCATTTCAAAATCCACGACATTCAACTTCCCCTTTAAAACAATTTTCTTCTTCTTTTCTTTTTAGTAATCTTTCGGGAAAAGGGTTCTACCCCTTTGGGTTTTCCCCCATTTATTTTGACTTTTTCAACCGATGGCTTACGGAGGAAAAATTCTTATTCCACTTCCCCCCTGGGTATAAAAAGGAAAAGTAAAAAAGACCCAAAAATATTAAAAAAAATCAAAAAAAACTCGATGAGTGTGTATAAATAAACGGTAATTATGTGTATGTGACCCAAAATGTAAGTGAAGAGCAAGACGTACCTGTAATCTTGCATATTTATGAGACAGACAAAAGACACCAGCAATCCTACCATCATGTAAAACAATTACAGGCTTTCATTTTACATTCACTTGGCAGGACGGTAGTACCTCCCTGGGTGGTTGCTGTCTACCAACCTAGAATTATTGAGTATATATACGTCAGAAACATACCTGGAGATACCTGGACATTGGCTCGTAAGACGTATTTATACGTCGAAAACAGTCAAAGGGTTAAAGTACATTGCTATTTTTATTTCCTAAATAAATTCTAGTCTCCCCACACTTCTAGAGTGTTTCCCTAATTACTGTTAGATAATATATCCCACTTATTAACCCAGAATAAAAGACTAGTAAATAATTTTATAGAGCAGTAAATTGCTTGATATCTTGTAGATGTTATCAGCTTTCAAAATATTGACAGTTTATGCATTAACTAATAAATTTCAGACTGGGCTAAGTGGAAACATCATAATTTTATCTGTGTTGTACTATGGAGGTGGTTTGGTGTCTGATTCAGCCCTCACCATAGGAAAGCTTTCTTCGTTCCTCCTTTATGCAGCGTATGTTGGCATTGCACTTGGTGGTATCTCTTCATTCTACTCTGAAATGAATCGTGGTCTTGGGGCATCTACAAGATTATTTAGTTTAATGGACCGAATGCCAAAGATTCCTACAGCTGGAGGTAATTTTTATTTTTTTGTTATTTATTTTTTTATTTTCTCAATAATTGAAATAGATATTGCTTTATAATTCTGTACAGTTTAAAAGAATTTGTGAATGGTGTAAAATATATTCAATGTTCCTTGCAGATCTATACTATTATACTGTAAGATTTATTGACATTTCATTCTTCAGTAATGTAAATATTCCAATCCCTTGTAATGTGCATAGAATATTTTCTGGCATAAGGCTGTGAAATAATTTTTGTTTATATCATATAGGCTATATCATATGAATCCATGATTTATAAACTAAGGAATTATTGAGCTGGGTTCCCCTCAGAAGATGCATTACTTTATCTCTTGGCAAAAGATGAATTGGTATTTGTATACAGAGAAGCAAATAGAACCTTAAGAGATACACTGCTTTTATGTTTTCTAAATTTTATAGGATGCACTCTGAAGTCAGATTATATATCTACTGTAGGGCATATTATCATACATGTATTTATTATTTACTGTTATATCAGTATGTTATCCTACTACTAAGGGCACTAAGCAACAAAACATAAGAGTGAGGCAATGAGGAAGGAAATAAGAAAGAAGTAGAGGGGAGAATTAAAACATTACATTTGCCAGATTTGCCGTTAGCAAACAACATTCTATTGCCTCTCATGCATAGATCATAACAAAGTAGTACAGACAATTCAGATGTGTGACAGGTGGTGGTGGCAGCATGTTGAGGGTAGCAGAATGTGACGGCATATAAAGATCAATGAAAGATGGTGAACTGTGATGACATGTTATAAAAAGCAGTAGAGGGTAATAACAAGTTGTGGAAGGTATTTTAAATCCAGTGGCATGCATGGTGTGATGTGGTAGTGCATGTGCTGCCTCTGTTAAAGTCAGTAACATTACAGATGAAAAGCCACTTTAGTTGGGCAATATAAATTTCAATTGATGTGCAGAAGTTCTGTAGGACAACAGATCAATGACCAGCTTAGAATGTGTGTATACAGTTAAGATTTGAAGTGGCTGTTCAGAAAAACATTAAAAGGCCTATCACTTTTTTTTACATTGGCTGTATTATATGTTGGGTGAATTTTGGACTATTTTTGACTTTAAATAACTTCTTGTATGATGGAAAGTACTGTAATTTATGTACATGCATGTATCATGAAATGAAATGAAATGAAAGGGGGTAAAGCAGCTGGAACTGATGGGATCATGACAGAAATGTTAAAAGCAGGGGGGGATATAGTGTTGGAGTGGTTGGTACTTTTGTTTAATAAATGTATGAAAGAGGGGAAGGTACCTAGAGATTGGCGGAGAGCATGTATAGTCCCTTTATATAAAGGGAAAGGGGACAAAAGAGACTGTAAAAATTATAGAGGAATAAGCTTACTGAGTATACCAGGAAAAGTGTACGGTAGGGTTATAATTGAAAGAATTAGAGGTAAGACAGAATGTAGGATTGCGGATGAGCAAGGAGGTTTCAGAGTGGGTAGGGGATGTGTAGATCAAGTGTTTACATTGAAGCATATATGTGAACAGTATTTAGATAAGGGTAGGGAAGTTTTTATTGCATTTATGGATTTAAATAATGTAGATCTTAATATTACGGATTGCGAAAAAGATTTAGGAGTTCTGGTTAGCAGTAATCTGAAACCAAGACAACATTGCATAAGTGTTCGCAATAAAGCTAATAGAATCCTTGGCTTCATATCAAGAAGCATAAATAATAGGAGTCCTCAGGTTGTTCTTCAACTCTATACATCCTTGGTTAGGCCTCATTTAGATTATGCTGCACAGTTTTGGTCACCGTATTACAGAATGGATATAAATTCTCTGGAAAATGTACAAAGGAGGATGACAAAGATGATCCCATGTATCAGAAACCTTCCCTATGAGGATAGACTAAGGGCCCTGAAACTGCACTCTCTAGAAAGACGTAGAATTAGGGGGGATATGATTGAGGTGTATAAGTGGAAGACAGGAAATAAATAAAGGGGATGTAAATAGTGTGCTGAAAATATCTAGCCTAGACAGGACTCGCAGCAATGGTTTTAAGTTGGAAAAATTCAGATTCAGGAAGGATATAGGAAAGTACTGGTTTGGTAATAGAGTTGTGGATGAGTGGAACAAACTCCCAAGTACCGTTATAGAGGCCAGAACGTTGTGTAGCTTTAAAAATAGGTTGGATAAATACATGAGTAGATGTGGGTGGGTGTGAGTTAGACCTGATAGCTTGTGCTAACAGGTCGGTTGCCGTGTTCCTCCCTTAAGTCAATGTGACCTGACCTGTCTAGGTTGGGTGCATTGGCTTAAGCCGGTAGGAGACTTGGACCTGCCTCGCATGGGCCAGTAGGCCTTCTGCAGTGTTCCTTCGTTCTTACGTTCTTATGTTCTTATATGATAGAGTGGATAGAGGAGCAATGTGGCAGATGTTGCAAGTATATGGAATAGGTGGTAAGTTATTAAATGCTGTAAAGAGTTTTTATGGGTTTTATGAGGCTAGGTTGGGTGTGTAGAAGGGGGGAGATATTTCCCGTAAAAGTAGGTCTTAGACAGGGAGTTAATGTCACCATGGTTTTTTTAATATATTTATAGAGGGGGTTGTAAAAAGTAAATCAGGGTGTTGGGAGGGGGTGGGATTAAAAATTTTTGGGGGAAACAAATTTAAAATGGGGTTGACAAGTTTTTTTTGCTGTGTACTGTTCTTATGGGAATTCAAAGAAAAATTGAAAGGGTTTGTGGGTGAGTTTGGGAAAAATTGTAAAGTAGAAAGTTGAAAATGAACATAGAAAAAAGGGAAGGTGATGAGGGTGTCAAAGATTTAGTAAAGAAAAATTGGATATCAAATTGGGGGAGGAGGAGTATGGAGAAGGGGTGTTTTCAATACTTGGGGGGTTTACGTGTCGGGGGATGGATTTATGAAAGATGAGGTTAAACATAGAATTTACGAGGGAAAAAAAAAGGGGAGTGTCTTGAGGATTGTGGGGGTCAAAAAACGTTATCTTTGGGGGCAAAGAAAGGGGAAAGTATGAAAGTATAGTATCCAAAACTCTTATAGGGTTGGGAAACTTGGGGGGTAAATGCGCAGCGGGGACGGGTTTGGGGAGTGGAGATGTCTTTTTAAAAGGGGAATGTGTGGTGTAAAAAATTATGCAGAAAAATTTGGGTGTGGAAAAATTGGGGAAGGGGGGTTAATAAAAAATTAGTCAGAGGGCAGAAAGGGGGGGTTAGGTGGTTTTGGTCATTTAGAGAAAAGGATCAAGAAAATGAATGGGAAACATAAAATCTATAGGGGAAAGGAAGGCGGGGAGGGGGCTCCCAAAGGGTTGGAAGGGGGGTAAGGAGGGTTTTTTGGGCAAGGGGCTTGGGCTTCCAGCAAGCCGGCGTGAGCGGTTGATAGGGTGAATGGAGACGAAGGACTTGGGACCTGACGATCTGTTGGAGTGTGAGCGGGTAATATTTAGTGAAGGGATTCAGGGAAACCGGTTTTTTTCATTAGTTGGACTTGAGTCCTGGAATGGGAAGTACAATGCCTCACTTTAAAGGAGGGGTTTGGGATATTGGAGTTTGGGGGGATATGTTGGTATCTTTATTGTGTTTTCTTCTAGACTTTTTTTGTTTTTGAGCACCCTGCAAAAAAAAGTGTAATGTGCGAGTGTGGTGAAAGTGTTGAAGAGTGAAGTATTTTTTTTTTGGGGATTTTCTTTCTTTTTTGGGTCACCCCGCCTCGGGGGAACGGCCCAAATTTTTGGAAAAAAAAAGCAGTATCATAAGCCAAAAAATTTGTTATACAGTGTAAAATTTATTTCATGATTTTAAATAAATTTTTAAAAAAATCTTGTTTTTTACTTAAAGGGTAAACTCTGCCTTGGATGGCTTTAGAGGGACTAAATTTAAAAATGTTAATTTTGCCTATTTAACGAGACCCGAATACCGTATTTAGGACCTCAACCCTTTTTGTTCCTAGGTAAGAAATCACATATCAAATTTTTAAATTTGTATCTTCGCATTCACCTATCATTACTTTGGTTTGTGGGTATGCTCTAGCTTTTTTTGGTCTCCTCTTAAAAAAATTAAAAATAAATGTTAGGTGGATCATATTTTTATCTTTTATAGTTTTTGTTTGTTGTTTAGTTTTTTCTCCTAAAACCCTTTCATTGCATTTGCTTTCTAAAGTTTGTAGCATGACAGGGACATGGGTTTGCATTTCTTCCCTCATTCTAGAGGGGGTCTCCAAAAAATCTTTGCTCATCAACCCATCATGAAATTTTTAGATTATTCATTGGCCTCAGACATTTTTTTATATGAAATTTAATAAAAAAAAGTACTTTAACTAAAATAATTTAATAAATTAATTTTTTTCCAATATGCGGCCCTCTCCCACTAGGCAAGGGGACCCAAAAAAAAAAACCTTTCACCCTCATTCCCCATAACCTGTCTTTGCAGAGGGTTCCCCGATTAAAAGTTTTTGATGCCCCCAAACAGCCAATATCCCCAAATACTCCTTTAAAAATGAGGATTTTTCTTACACCTCCAGGTCGATCTGGCTAACGGTTTCCTTGAATTCCTTTACAAAATGTTACCCTACTTCACCAAAAAAGTTTGGGCAGGTCCCAAAAACCATTGGTCTCCTTACTCCCCGTCTAACAGTACCATGCCTGCTGCATGTCCAGGCCCCTTTTCACCAAAATCTTTTAATAGTAGGTTATTTATTCTACTTTACCACTGTGGAGACAACTTGTACACAATGTGAGGTGTTTGTATTATGATATAAGCTTCACATTATTATTATAATCAAAAAGAAGTGCTAAGCCACAAGGGCTATACAGCTTTATAAGCTTCACAGACATGGAAAAGAATGTGTATGAACCATACCCAGACGCGTTCACCTGTTTGTTTACATACCCTGCGGCTCTATCCTCTTTCATTTACTCGTTCTCTCTCTCTCTCGTTTATTTGTTTTTATCTTGTTTACTCGCCTCTCACCATAAATGAAGATTACAAATATTTTAACCTTTTGAGGGTCCAAGCCATAGATCTATGTCATGGGCTCAGCTCACTCAGATATGCTGCGAGCGGTAAATTTGGGCT